TCGACGAACTTTCTTCATAACCTTATAATAAACATACCTCTTCTAATAATGGGCAACTTGTTGCAATGATTTCTAGAGCTTTCTCGTCCATCAAATGCACTATACCACTAAGATCTAGCGACTTGAGATGAACTCCAGCACGTCTCAGTATGGACTGAATTACTACGCTTTCAGAAATGAGAGATCAGTGAACGCATGAAGATGAATAGCAGTAGTCAAATAGTAAAAAATAGGTCAATGATTTAGCGGTGTAGCTACAAAAACTCACCTTTAGATGATTGTTACGAAATGGCTTGCTTTTCCCGAAACCTTCACAATCTCTGACTAGGACGAGTTTAGGGACCAGTGACCAGGACTGAAACAACTTTCGTACATTTGTTTGTTTGTTTGTCTGTAACACCATCATATATGGCGCCGTTTGCAAATCAACTGGTCAAGACAATAAAGTCAAAAAACTCTTTAAAAAGGACCTCAAATATCTTGAGGTGATATGCCGAAAACTACAACTAAGAGCTGACTCATGGCTCTCTCCATGAGGATTCGATATCCTTGAAATGGAATGAGTGGTCCAACAACTCAAAAAGAAACCTTCATCGACGCCTCCATACACCGCTTGCTAACCCGTTCCATGCGAATGGTGTCATTTACTGGCAAATAGGCGGCGATTCGTTCAAGCGCACTTGTAGCAATATCGTCCATAGATCGTCCCTAAATGGGCCCATTTCAAAAGCAGTTTTTGCCAACAGTCTTGAGAATGCTCCTGGAAAACAAATATCTCCCACCTCAAAAGTGCTTAATGACATTGTCGTCGAAGCTAGAGACTGATTAGATGACGCACGAGAAAGGTTGAACGTTTCATCTGAATATAACTTTTTAAGGATATTTTTGAAAACACTGATATATCACAGCCATCTCGTTAACAACTAATTTGTTCCGAACACACATCACTAACGCTCTTAGCAATATTAAAATACCACACCTTGGCTATCATCAGTGAGTATCACACCTTTTCCGCCTTTCCGCCTCGAAACGAACTGAAAAATAACAACTTGGCGTTGAATTACAATTGCTTTTGTCAGCAGTAGTGAATTCAGATGAATTCAGATAGTTGGTGATAGAAAATGACGACGTTTGTACGGATTGACAAAGGCCTTGCAAAGCGAAAGTCTACAGCCTGAAATCTTCTTGCTATCGACAATGAAACCTTGGCATTCTGTATGTGACGATGGGGTGAGTGGTTTGTAGAAGATTGTGGATTGGAAGCAAAGTTTGTCATTTTTTATGAGTCAGGATACCGTGTCGGCCTAGCGAGTCATGACAACTGCTAGCAAAAGTGTTACTGTGTGGTTTCTCGGTCCAAAAATTAGTGGTTCTGAAAAACAAGTTACTAAAAACGCACAAAGAACCGAAACGGCAACTGGGTCAAGCCCCAATTTTTGCATTTTCTGCACTTAGAAGTAGTCAACGCTCTTAAGAAGCTCTCGCCATTAAGTTACCAAACAAATCGTGATGATGACTTTCGAATTGAGATGATTCCATCAATAACTCAGCGGCTCGACCATTTCTTCAAAACAGACCCGCAAGCACATTTTTCCACGAGAAGCGTTTAAAATTTTGCGAGTTTCGCGGTTTTGGAATCTTCGTAATGAGAAGAAGCAGTATTCTCTCGGTATCATCCAATGGTGAAACCTGGAACTCAGCCCGGGTTTCAAAGAGCGTACAACAGATACAAATACAACTGATAACTCGGATGCCTAGAAGAATGAATTGAAGAAAATTGGCAGACGTTGAGTGGCTCTACATAACAGAACTAGGAGAGAATGAGTTTGGCGAGAATCTGATGACCTCATCTACGACAAGGTGGAGAATGGGAAAATGGCAGCAGTTAGGAACGATGTTAACCAATGATGGTTTTCTGATTTCAAGTGACAATCAAAAACAAGGGATAAAATTTCTGGTGATGATAAAGCCCGAAGGGAAGGAAGTGAGCTTGAACAACTTTACGTGTTCGATTTCCATTCGAAATNGAAGTGACGCTTGAACACCAATTATTAAGTAAACCATTTAATAGAACAAGATGAAACTCACTGGTGTCACGACCATGAACTGCTCGTAAAACTTGAGCTCTTCAGGTGCGGCATTTTTCGCTTTTTCGGCATCTTCAGGCCTCCTTAAAAACTGTAGAATGAAAATGAAATTCACAAATTTCGGTTCCAGTGAGAGTACATTTTTCATCGTCAGAAAGTTTGCGAAAGGACTCACTTGAACGTCAAAGTTGCTGTGCCGCAGTTTTTCAAATTCTTTGGCAGTGTGCCAAACATCGAAAGTCGTCTGTCTTCCCGTGGTAGGGAGCAATGCGACACCTACCAAAAAAATTGACTGAACTCATGAATTATAGATTTGATTAGCCACCCAAAAGCAAGAACAGTAAGAGCAATTTTGGGCCTAATTAATTAGTTAACTAATTTGGGCCGGATTTTTATGAGCTAAAATAAAGAGAGCAAAAGTGACTAGATAAGATTCCCGAGAGCAAAACTCAATTCACATAAATTACAGTCATTATAAATCGTGACTACTGAACAAATATGAGGTGAATGATGTTGTACCTTTCCAAATTTCGAAAAGAAGGATTGAAGCTGCGATGGAGTTACTCGAGGTGAGATATTCGTCACAATAACTTTTCGCTCCTCTTTTGCTTTCGCATAACTGGCCAAAGAAGCATCGAAATCTAAACATTGGGTTGCTCGTTTGGAAAGTATCCGAGGAGAATTTCGCAATGTTCCAAATTTCTTCTGGAATATTTAAAAAGCTTCCATGCAACTGCTGAATAAAACACTACCACGCGCTCACCCAATACATGTCCGGCTCCCTTTCCTTGCTTAATTAACCCTAGACCCTAGGCAAACTGTCTCCACACAATCACCCTTGTTTACAAGTTTGGATGGGATCGCTTCGCTGCTGAAGCCCATCAAAACCTGTATCAAGCAATTGACCTTGCGACCCCTGAGCGGTTCTGTTCTCGCCCCATTCCAATGCTCTAAAGTCCCGAAAAGAGGCCAAAGATGGGGCTTGATCTGGGCACCCGACTGCGATATCATAAAATCTCCGATGGTGATTTTAGCATTTAGTGTCCCTCAATAGTAATGAAGATGGAGACTTGCAGAACACTATGAAAAAATCTGGACCTTTGTGTAATTTTCGGCA